CGTCATTTTCACTACAATTTATGGGATATCACCTCGAGGCAAGTCGCGAAAAGTCCAGTCGATGCGGGGTCACCTTGCTTCTCTCTCTTTTCCATCGGTAAGGTGTGACTGAAGCAGAGAAGAGTACTATTTTTGTCGAACAGCCTATATTCTCTTCCTTAACAATTTCCACATAGTTCCTAACAATTCCTCCATCTACAAGAGCTCGTAACAGAGCATTCAATTATCTGCACTTCAAATGCTTTTTCGTAATCGACGAACAGGAGACAGAGCAAGGGACGATGCTGCATCCAGCAGCTGATTTAAAGTGAACATGTGGATATTAAGGTACATTTCGAAAAGAAAAATAAAGCATGCACACAGGGAGGAAATAATTTTGCCATAAAATATGTTTTTGATTTTATTCAATAAACCATTGAAGAGGGAACCTCGGCGGTGAGTGCATGCAGTGTCGTTCTTCGTCTTCTTCGTTACTGCTTGCTTTTGCTTTTTCCAATGCATCGACACTTCCGACGGCGGCACTCGGCTCATCCCTCATCCTGGCCAAGCTCGTGCTGCAACACTGGGACAGTTATAGGCACAGGGTCACAAATATCCCAAACCACAAAAAAGCCAAATTTGGAGCTGTGGAACAGATTCCATCCGGCAGGCAGCCCAGACAAGTCCGGTAAGACATGCGCGCGGGAAAACTGTGTGCATTTCTGGCCATCTCACTCATCGAAATGCACTTGCAGAAGCTGGCTTAAGTCATGCATCGCGCAAAATTGCATGATTCAGAAAATCGCCGATGCCAGACGACTTCGCATGCTACATTCAAAACCACTCATCATCACTGAAAATCCAAGAAAAAATGAGGCGGGATGTGCGAAAGCAATGCTATTAAATTGCTCTATGACCACGGTGTCAGGCAGTGACGACACGCGCACACACACACACGCATACAGACTCATACATCCTTCATACTCACGCACACACGCGTACACACATATGTTCATGCATGCATGCAAACAAACAAACACACATACATACATACACGTCACACAGACAACGAGATGGACAACAGCAGCAGAAGCAGAAACAGCAGCAGCAGCAAGCAC